ACGGAGGCTTCTCATCTGGACTGTCCCGTTTCCCAAAGCCTAGGTCCTCGCCCAGTGACCTGCAAAATGTCCTCCCACAGGAGCCTATCACAGCAGGAATCAGCCCAACCCTGGTCCCAGGGTCTCCAATGGCAGGCTCCCTCTTCTGGACCTGAGTCTGCAGGGTGGTAAAATGGGTTTGTGTTCATTTCACCAATAATCTGTGCAAGTCGTCTTCCTTCTATAAGGGACTTGGTCAGCAGAGCATCTGTCCCGCCTGCCTCAGAGAATCCATGAGTCTAAGCATGGTCTTTTCAAAACATTTCTGAAACTACAAAATCCGTGAAGATACAAGGTAAAGTTTATGCAAATGAAAGCTTTCTGGAAATCTTGTGAGTGTTCACTATGATGTCACTTTCCTTGGCTATTTTAGAAACACTTTAAGTTTCTGAGGGGAATTTTGCCATGCACAGTAAGCCGGAAGACACCATTTTTGTTCTGCAACCCTCATATTTTAAAATACTGCTCTTTTTAAAAAGCAATTAAGATTTGGTGGCAAAGCACCGTACTGGCCAGATGTGAAAAGTGACTTCAGGGTCCAATTTTCTAACACCGACTCAGTAAAGAAATTATCCATATCCAGACAACCCTCGCTGTGCCCGCCTTGGAGTCCGTTACTTAAGAGTGGGATGCCCTCTTGGATGTCTGCCTTGGTTGGCTACACAGACCCTCTGGAAGGAAAACCGGTTTCTCTCTCTGGAAGGAACAGCATTGCTGAGAATGACCCCCGCCAAAGACCCCCAAGAAGCTGCCTGCACAGTCAGCAGCCCCTGAGGGAGGTGGTCTGCCAGGTCCTCGGTTTCAAAGTTCCAACGCTGTCCGCCCACTTCCTTACAGTTCACTCAAGATTTTACAACTTTTGCAGGCTCTTGGGCCGTGCCAAAATGAGTCCGGCTCAGGCAAGAAAAGTGGAAACTATTTTTGGCATCCAGAAGGGCAGCTGTAGGACGCGGACACAGTCGGCGCCGAAAAGGCATGCCTGCCTTTACAGATTTGGAGAGTTTCTAATCAGGGACGCATCCGGAAACCTCGAGGCCTGCAGCCAACTCGGGGCGCACTAGGCCTGGGCTGCGGCCGAGGGTCGGGGTCGGCCTCCGGGGAGGGGGCGTTCCGGGGAGAGGCGAGGTCGGCACGGGTGTCTGCGCCGCGCAGAGGCCAAGTGCGCGACACTTTGTACCCACTTGAGCGCCAAGTGGCAGCGAGTGTGGCACCCCCGCGAGAGGCGCGCCGGGGCGGAAACGCGCTCCGAGTCCTCCGTCTACACCCGGCTGCCCCGGAACTCGCAGACCCGCACCACGGCTGCCGCGCTCGCTGGGGCAGCGGAAGAGTCGAGGGAACGCGCGCCCCTCGAGGAGGGGATACCCGGGCAGGAGGCTCTCGGCGCCCAGCGGACGAGGGGAAAGGGCGCCGCTGAGGGTCTCTGCGGGTCCGAGAGGGAAAGTCCCCCAAAGAGGGGACGGGGCCACTGCGGTCCTGGAGGAGGGGGAGGCGCGGGGGCGCACCAACCTAGGGCAGGAGGGGGACCGAGAGAGGCCGCGGAGGGGAGAAGGGGGCGCGGAGGAGGGAAACCAACAGGCGAGGGAAACGGGGAGGGGAGGCGCGGAGGAGGGGACGGAGAGGAGGAGGGGAAGGGGACGGGGAGGAGGGGGGGGGATACACCGCGCTCGGGCAGGGTGGGGACGGAGAGGGGCGGGAGCAGGGAGAACCGGGCGCGGAGGGGGCGCCAACGGACAGGGATGGGGCCCGGCGGGGGCGGCGAGCGGGGCTCTCCCGGGCTGCCCCAACAGCTTCCCCGTCCAGCCGGGGATTCCAAGCTGCTAACAAAGGAAGCTCCGGAGGCCGCGCGCCCCGCGCTCGGGTCGGCCCTCCGCGCCCGGGCCAAGGCGGACAAAGGCCGGAGGGCCACTGCGCGGCCCCCAGACCCACAGCCCCGCCTACGCCCTCTGGCCCCCCGTCCGGGCCCCCACCCAGCCACCCCCGGCCCCGCGCCCCCCGCACTCACAGGATGGAGGTCTGCGGCGCCACGGCGGGCACGGCCTCCAGCAGCAGATGCATGCAGCGCACGGTGGTACGGAAGCACAGACAGCGGCTCGGACAGCCGGCGCCCGGCTTCGGGGCGACAGTGGCCAGCGCCCCCCAGCCGCAGCAGAGCACGAGCGCCAGCAGGCAGCGACGCGCGGGGCCCGCGGGGCGCACGGCCATGGCCCTGGGCGCGCGACGCTCGGACGCAAGAGGACCGGGAGGGCCCGGCGCGACCCTGAGGGCTCCGGACTGCGCCCGCCCGCACGGCCCACGTCCCAGCTGTGCGCTGGGGGCGGGGGGCGCCAGCTGTGCACATGCGCGCGGCTCCTCCCTCCGCACCCTCCCGGAGGGCCGGGGCGGGGCGGGACCTCAGGCCCGGCGTCAAGCTGCTGCGCCCGGGTCCCAGCTTAGGGGCCGCCCGGCAGCCCTCTCTGGAGGCTCACTGGTGCAGAGGGATGATGGGGCCCCCGGGGACAAGTCCACGTCTGCACTTGGGAGCCGGGGGCCTCGGCCATCTCGCCTAGCTGCGCTTTCCACATGTGTGCAAAGGGTTTTCTGTGGGGTTTTGTTTTTTTTTTTTTTTTTGGTCTTTGTTTTATAAAAGCGCTTTTAGCGTGCTCACTTTGTTCCAGGCGCGGTTCCAAGGGGCCTCTCCCTCTCTCTCTCTCCCTCTCTCTCTCCTGCACTCTACCTCTCTCTTCCTCTCTCTCAATCTACCAACTTCCCCTCCTCTTTCTGTGAACACACACAGGCTGCAGCAGGATTGAAGCCAAGCAGCCTGGCACCTGCCTGTGCCCGCCCCCCCCACCCCCGACCTGCTTTCAGCCAGTGCTGGCCCCAGGGCACTGTCTGGAGCCCAGAGGACATTTATGTCCAGTCCTGGGTTCAGTGCTGAGACAGGTGGACTGACGCTCAGTGCCCTTTAGCTCCCTGCCTGGAGGACACACCCAGAGGAAACCCTTGCACCCAGCCCAAGTGGGACTTGGGTGGAACCACCAGCAGACACAGGAGGAGCTGTGGAAAGGAGGGGACACTGAGTCACACACATACATGTCTGCAATTTTGTTCTAACACTCTACATGTTATCCACTGATTCTCGCAAGAACCCAGTCCCTGCATTTGGCAGATGAGATCGTCACCAAGTGCCAGTGTCCAGGCGCAGCCCTGGTGTGTGATGTGTCCGTTGTGTGGGCTGGTGGCAGTCTAACCCAGGGGTGCCGGAGGGTGTACAAGGTGAGACTGGTGAGTGACCAGGCACCTTCCTGGGGATGGGCGAGCACATACCTGCAGGGCACACAGCTTCAAGGGTCCCCATCTGGGGGCAGCTGAGCTGGGGTCTGACTCAAGGCCCTTCTGGAGGCTTGTGTGTGTGTCCTTGAGGCCACTGTCCCCACTACCACATGGAGCAACCTTCCTGCTCACCTAGGGACCCAGCACAAGCCATCCCAGGGTGCTGTATACTAAGCAGTCATAAACGTCCCCCAGTGGGCACTCCTGGGCTCCCCGTACTTCTACAAGTCCCCACCTAAATGCCCCGCAAGAATATTAAGCTTATCATGTCAGAAACGTGAAATGTGACTCTCCCTGAAAATGTATTTTTCCTCCTGAATCACTAATTTGGTCCTCCAAACCACTTCCCCGTAACTTCCCCCTGGAAGTTGTCCCCACCCTCATCCTTACCGCGCTTCATGGAGCTGTGAATTCCAATTCCAGGTGCTCATCACGGCTGGAGAAACTCTGTTCTCTGTAGCCTTGCTTTCCATAACCATTGACAGTCCCGTCCCTCGCCGCCGCCCCCGGCTCCTGGGGACCCTGCCTCCTGAGTCTGCTGACCATCCTCCCTGCAGGGGACAGAGAATATGTCACAGCTGTGGCCGCACCCCTTCCCAGTCCAGACATCGGATTGAAGTGGGCAAAGGCCATGTTTCACAAAACACCTTCAATGTCCGGCCACCCCAGGAGGTGTGGGCCTCTAACACACATTGTTAGCTTCTCTTCTCAGTTAGGCAGCTCTGTCCACACCAGCTGTGGGGTTAATTGTAGGCGTCCGTCTGGCTGGGGGTGCACACAGTGCTTTGATCAAACGCTAATCTAGGTGTGGTGCTGTGGGGATTTTGTAGATGAGATTAGCATTGGTTGACAGCTAGGATCTGTTAACGTGAAGTCAAGAAGATTACCTGCCACAATGTGGGTGGGCTTCACCCAAGCGGTTTAAGGTCTTAAGAGTAAAAGCTGGGGGTTCCCAGAGAAGAAATTCTGCCTCAAAACCGCAGCCTCGACCCCTGCCTGAGTTTCTAGTCTGCTCCCCTGCTTTACAGATTGAGGAATCCCCAGTCCCCACAATCACAGGAGCGGGTTCCTTAAAACCAATCTGTCCATCCGTCTTCCTTCCTTCCTTCCTTCCTTCCTTCCTTCCTTCCTTCCTTCCTTCATCTTCCGATTGTGCTGTTTCTCCAGAGACCCCTGGCTGACACAGCCGTTTGCAGAGCGTTGGCTGAGGAGGTGTGGGGGGAGGCCAGTACCAGCATCCATGCCTGAAAGAATTCACCCTACTGAAGCTCCTTCTGCTGGGCTGAGGGCACTTCCCGCGTCTTGCGTTCATTATTTCCTGCTCCTGCCCTCTAGAGGCCCAGGGAAGCCTCACACCCCAGGCTCCTGACTTGCCCCAGAACATCCAAGGACTTCAAAGCTACAGAAGGTCGGCGTGGCCCAGGACCCAGGTGAGATATCCCCATTTCCCTTTGATGGCGATTTTGCAAATCTTATTATCTGGCCCAAATCCTGCTATCTCTGTGCTAATTGATAACTTTTAGTTGCTTTGGTATTCATACAAAGAAGCCAAGATAAGGGGTGAGGAAATTCTGTGCTAACCTCAACCCTCTGTTTTCTGTGAATGCGATCTTTCTAGAGTCTCAGGGTGACCCTGGAGACTGAAGACAATGCGAGGTGTGTGTGCAACGACCTGCAGATGAAGAAGTCACCAGCGCTTGGAGAATCGAAGCTCCTTGCCAGAGGACTTGTAGCTAATCGGGGGAGGATGGGGCGGGGGGAGGGAGGTGGCTCTGCACTCACATGGTGCCAAGCCCTGGCGGGAGCTGCCACTCAATGCTGGGAACCCTCTGAGACCTCCGCTGGGCCGCTGCACCCCACCCCAGTCCCCCCTTATCCTCTGCAGAGTTGCCTGGGGCCACCTGGAGCCTGGCACCTGGACGTCCTTATAGCCACAGCCCAAGGCCCCGGCTGCGCCAGGGCTGGCCCTTGCCCTCAGGCTGCAGAGCTGAGGGGGGCAGTTCCTCTCCTGCTCAGTCCGCTGCCCCCCCTCCTGAGAGCCCCTGTTGTCCATCTGGCTCTGGTGAGAAGCCCCAAGCCCAGGGTGCTCATCACCCTTCATGCCCACAGGGTCCCCCTGAAGTTGGCAGTTTGTGTTTCCTGCTGCCCCTTCACGGGGTAATGATGTCACCTGTGTACCTGCCTGGCTCCCTGCCAGGCGGGGCAGTCCTCAAGGATGTGTGCAGAAAAGGGCGCGGGTTTGGTACCAGAACCAGGCAGCCTCACGCTCTTGGCCACTCTCTTCTCCTCCCTGGGTCTCAGTTTCCCCATCTGTGACAGGAGGCCAGGTGGCAGCGAGTCTGAAAGATGTAGGAGCTGCCTGCACACGGTCCTCTACAAGAACGCAGCAGGCTGAGCCCCCTTCTTGCCGGGAGGCTTCCTGGGGTCTGGGTGGGCCCTGAGTCTGGAGGGCTGGAAGGCCGCCGTGGGGCCATTCCCAGACGATGAGTCAGCCCCTTGCAGAACCTGGCTGTGCCTGAGGCTCAGGCCTCCCTCCACAACCTTCACCCCCCTCCTGCGAATTCCTCCCCCTGTGCCCGCCCAGCCCCCACCGGCTCCGCCCACCGCAGCCACACCGAAGACCTGCACCTGGGCAGCAGGAGTCTGGGCTCTCAGTCCTGGAGGCCAGGAGTCCTCCAGCAAGGTATCAGCGCGTGGGAGCCTCCTGGAGGCTCCAGGACAGAACCTGCCCCAGGCCTCTCTCCAGCGCCCCTGGTGCTCCTGGCCATGTAGACGCATCCCTCCCACCTCTGCTGTGGTCCTCCATTGGTGCTCCCTGTGTCTGTCTGCCCTCGCGGCGTCCTTTCCTCTTCCTCTTGGACCACACTGGCTTAGAGCCCTCCCCGCCATCACTTCCTAACGTGGCTAATTGTATCCACAGCAACCTTCTTCCACACAACGTCACATTCTGAGCTCCCAGCGAGGGCGAGGTTTCTGGGGTCAGAGGCAACGGGGCAGAGATGGAGTCAAGTTCTGTGGCCACATCGAAGGGCCTGTCTCCCTCGTAAGTGGTCGTGAACTCCAGCAGGGAAGGTACTTGGCATGGAGGCTGGGTCACAGCAGTTCCCAGGCAGGAGTAGCTTACAAAATAAAGGTGAGTGGCGTGGCTGAGGGGCTTGAAGGCAAGGCTACGGTGCTGGGCTCCACCGGGGAGGCCCGGGTGCGCATGAACCTGATACTCTAGAACGTAACGCCTCTGTCTCTCCGTCTCCCTGTCCCTCCCCAGAGCTGCCCCAGGCATCCCATACCTTGCCAGTGTGGTCAAGAAAAGAGAAATCTTAAAAAGCCTTTTTCTTCGGAGGGTCGTGTTCCAGTTGCTTCTCCCCCTGAGGAATGTTTGCGTAAATTCTGTACAGCTCTGATGTCTTTGTGTAAGTCGAGCTACACACTTGAATTCAGTGGTTTTCTCAGATCACAGGGGTTCTCCTTGTGCCCGCAGGACGGGCTCTGGCAGCAGAGGGCAAGTCCAGGAGCAGGGTCCCAACTGAGTAAGGCTGTTCCCGACCACGACCACGGGCCCTGGGCACAAACAGCGGGCGCCCGCCCAGCCCATCGACACACACCGTCTGGTGCATCTGCCCAGGCCCCCGTGTCGGTCGGGTTCCAGGAGGACACGCACGCACACATGCACGGTTGAGCCAGGAGAGGTGAACTGAGCCAAGCTTTCTGAGGTGGGCGAAGGGACCCTAAAAGAACCAAGGGGCGTGAGGATCCGCCCCCTGCGCATCTCCACCCCTCCCAGGCCTCGGAAGGCAGGGGAGGGGCGGTAACATGCCCCGGCCAGACCTGTAATCCGCCCAGCCGCAGCAGGTGGACCCTGTGACTCTCCCTTCAGAGCTCGAGGCCTGGAGAAGGCTGGTGAGCACCGGGTCCACGCAGCGAGCAGGGCCCCTGCCCTGAGAAACCCACAGTTTGGGGCAAACACAGACTTCTCCGTGAGCCACGGGATGGAAGCGGAGCTGAGTCACATGACACGTGCCTGGCTCAACATCACAGTCAGTCCCTTCTCTCTGGAGACGGCCTGTGTCACCTCCACTGCACAAGCCACCCCTGCACCCTGGCGCCCACCGCCCTCCTTGGGGGGCCCTCCAGCGCCCCCAGCCTTCTCTGGCACCTGAAGCCCATCTTGCCAGCCTGGGGAAAACAGACCGTGTTGGTTTGTTGGGCAGAGCTTCTGACTCTGCCTGTCTCGGCTGTGGATGCTCCTGGAGAGGCCGGGTCTGCCTTTGCTGGATGAAGGGTGAGTGGGGGCGTTTTCCCAGAGGAGGGCCCGCCTCCTTTCTTTCGTTTCTTCCCTGTGCAGTCCGCAGCCCTGTCCCTGGGGACCCCGCATCGCCCACCCGCCGGCAGGTGCACCACGCCCTCCTCCCCACGTGGCTCCATGCTGCTTCCCATTGCCCTGGCATCCACATCCTGGCATCCCGGCAAGACAGCCGGGGAGGGCAGCTGGGGAGGGCAGCCGGGGAGGGCAGCCGGGGAGGGCAGATGGGGAGGACAGCTGGGGAAAGCAGCTGGGGAAAGCAGCCGGGGAGGGCAGCTGGGCAGGACAGTCAGGGAGGACAGCCGGGAAGGACAGCCGGGGAGTACAGCCAGGGAGGACAGCGGGGCAGGACAGCCGGGGAGGGCAGCTGGGGAGGACAGTGGGGAGGACAGCCGGGAGGACAGCCGGGGAGGACAGCCAGGCTGGGCTGGCGACACCCCCCACGAGGCCTCTGGGAAAGGTCTGTGGAGCAAGTGGGTAAGCAAGGCGCCTTCCGGGTGGAGAACAAAGCTCACGTAAGGATCCTTCAAATAGAGCTTTTCATGCTTACTTTGTGATTTTGGGTTTAATAAACATGTATTCAGACTCTCCCCAGGAGTTTTAATACTCGCCCCTCAACATGCAGCGTTTTCAACTAGATAAAAAGTCACTTTGTTTGAAGCTCACAGAGCCTTTCCTGGACCCTCCTGGCTCGGTCGTGGGGTTGCTCCTAGAGAGGACGCTTGACTTCTCCCTGGGAGGAGGGCATCCCCTTTCCCGGGCCAGGGGGGCAGCTCAGGGGAACTGAGGCCACGAGAAGCATGGGGCAGTCCCAGCCTCTGCAGGAGTGCGTGCTTTCCGTAAAACCCGGCAGTCTCTGCGAGCTGTGTGGGGGGCTCTCAGAGCCCTCATGCGGGACCGACAGAGCACTGAGGAGTCTCCACCTCCCATTTTGGCGAACACACTTGCCCCCAGCCGGAGGCACACAGTGCAATGCTGAGCATGCGCTCGGCTGACCCAGGTGAAATCATTAGTAGCTCTTGCCAAAAATGCCCCATAATCCTTTCTAATAAATTAATCACTTTCAGAACAATAGCGTGGGCTGTGGGCTCGCGGGCCCCTGGCTGCAGCCGGCTGACTAATACTTCCTAATCTCTGAGAGTCTGCACACAATCAGTGTAAACAAGCCTCACATTACCCAGCAGCCCAGGAATGTCAGCCCCAGCGCCACGGAACGGGAGCTCAGCGTGGGTGTGCACGCCGTCCCGCCAAGGAGCGAAGGGGCTTGTTTCATGACAAAATCCCAGGATCCTCCCTTGTCAACTCAGCATGATTTCGAAAGTCTGCGCACATCACACAGGGGCCACGTGCGGCCCGACTTTGGACAAGCCAAGCCGTCAGAAGCGCGGAGTCCCTGTCCTTGGGATGGAACCGCGTGCCCAGAACGGGCATAAAGGACACGGGCTGTGTGTGTCGTGGGGCCGGCGCCCCACGCAGCAGGGGCCACCGGGGCCCGCGCCCCTTTCCACCAGCCTGGACTTCTCTAAGGAGTAAAGCTTGCTTCCCAGCTGAGGGGAAGGGACACCTGCTCACTTTGGGAAAGGGAGTTCAGGCCTCCGTGTGCGAAATGAGTTCACATCTCTGAGCTCCCAGCCGATGAGTCACTTGCATGGCCCCGATTGTCAGGGAGGGCTCTCAGCACGCTGAAGGACATGGCCTTCTTTGGTCAGAGTTGTCATGACACGGAAACTTCATGATTTCATACCCAAACTGCACTCCATACCACAAGGCAACAAAGCCAGGCTAGGAGAACCGTGAGCATGGTGACCGGCATGTCCTGAAGCCCTCGTGTCTGGTGGGGTCACCGAGTGCAGGCTGATGCCCTCCGCCTGGCCTCCCTTCCCCGGCGGGACCCTGGCCAGCCTGGCACTGGGGTGCGGGCTCACCCCGGGCACACTGAGGACACGGGACGGCCGGCCCGCAGGCAGACCGTGCAAACACAGGTCACGGGTGTGAAGGTCTCCGTGCGTTAACCAGACGCCTCAGCGTGTCCTGTTTTCCTTTCTGACAGTTTCGTCTTCGGAGCAACGTGGATTCGACACCGACTGTGCTTTGAGAGGACACTGTCTGAAATACTGTACGGAAACTGATGGAAACAAAGACATGGATACACATCTTGGCCAAGATGTGGCTTTGCTCCGTGGCCCCCAAATTTCAGACCTAATGCCCACCCTATAGGTCAAAAGTTCAAGCTTTTCCGCTGATTTTCCTTGTCATTGTCATTAGAGAAACCAGATCTCGGACTGACGGTTCGTGTCATTTTAATTTCTCCGTTCGGCTCTTGTGGGTTCCCACAGTGACTTATTTAACCGTGTTTCTGCAGCCAGAGCATCAGAGGCATCCCACTGGTGTTTGCAAATGACACCGATGTTGTGGCCAGACCCTGGAGTCTTCAGTGAGCTCGGGGAGCTTCCCCGGACAGGTGTTCTGGCCGCCTGGTGTGCGTTGAACCATGTCCCCCGAGAAGACGTGGACGTCCTACCCCCAGCCCCTGGGGATGTGACCTTATTTGGGAATAGAACTGCTGCAGACGTGGCTGAAGTCGGAGGAGAGCAGGTGGGGCCCTGTGTTCTCACAGGAACAGGGGAGTGATGGGGACACGGTCACAGAGAAGGGCCCTGTGGCGACGGAGCAGAGGTGGGCACGGGGCACCCTACACCAGAGGGCCCCAGGGACTGCGTGCAACCCCACGAGCCGGAAGGGGCAGGGAGGGCCTACGTCAGGAGCTTTCAGCAGGAGCGCGACCCCGCCCACACCTCGCTCTTGAACTTCTGTCCTCCGGAACTGGCAGAGAAGACTTTCTGTTGCTTGGGGTACTTTGTCACGGCAGCCGCGGGGACGGTCCAGGTCTGGGAACACTCTGCGCCCTGGTGGTGTGTTGGGCAGAGCTGGTCCTCAGGCTTCTGGGGGGCAGCTGGCCCCACTGAGAGGTGCCCCGGCAGCTCTCCTTCCTGCTCCTTTCCCCCCTGCTGATTTTAACGTGTCCTTTCCCGGTGACAAACCGTAACTGTGATGTGACCGTTTTCTAGGTGTCGAGGCCTAGTGAATGCCCGAACCTAGGAGCAGTGGAAGGGTCTGGGACAAGCCTGCAGGAGTCCTGCCCCTCGCTCTGTCCGGCCCAGAGCAAGTGCGCACACGGAGACTCCAGCGCGGCCGGGCTCACAGAAGGTCCCTCCCAGCCCGTCATCTAGGCCTCAGCACGCGGGCCGCACCTGTCACAGCCCCTCAGCCCGGGAGCGCATGCACGGCCCTTCCTCTGGGAAGGGGATTGATTCCAGGATTCTCAGAACATGGAGCTGGGCGTGGACTCGGGCTGGCACATTCCTTCATCTGTGGCCCTTTCTCCCTGGAAGTGCACCTAGGCAGGGCAGGAGTCTTGGGGACCCAGGCCCGAGCAAGGCTGATGGGGGGGCGTAACTGTTTGGAAAAGGGTCCACGGGCACAGAGCACGTGGGCACTCGAGAGCCTGACTTCTCATGGCTCGCAGGGGCAAGCCAACCAGTACTCACTGCCGCCCCACCCTCGGGTCTGGGCATGTCAGATCTCAGCCAGAGTCTAGCCTGTTCTTGTTATAAAGCTCAATCTTGATTCACGCCGCTTCTAGATCCTTTTAATTATCAGGCATTCCTTCAAAATCACTAGCCGATTTTGAGCTTCATAAGCTGCAGGAGTGATAAATTTCAGCTCTTGACCCCACTCCACAAAATGACCCTGTACATATTAAGGATGGGCATTCTACTTCATCATGTTGTATCTTGTGCCCTGAAGGATGGGCTGAAGTCCCATCTCTGGGAGCTGTGTGTGTGACCTCCCAGGGAAGCAGGATCTTTGCAGATGGTCCAGGTGAGATGAGATCGCTGGGGTGGCCCCGACAGGTGATGACTGTCATCCTAATGAGAAGAGGCGACACACTGTGTGAAGAGGGGCTTGGAGGGCGGAGGGGCAGAGATGCCCAGGACCACCAGGAGCTCCCAGAAGCTGGAAGAGGCAGGAACGACCTTCCCGGGGGCGTAGATCTGGATCTCAGACTTCCAACCTCCTGAATTGGGAGAGAACACATCCTGTGGTGTTAACCTCTCCGGTCTGTGGCACTTTGTTCCGACAGCCTCGGAAAGTTAGTATCCCAGCAATCGTAACTCTGTGCTCTGTAGGAATCCTTATTTTAGGGACGCACGGTTACGCAGGGCTTCCCCGGTCTTATGTTGGCCTTCGGCTCGGACACCAGGCCTGGACCACGTGCTTGTGCTCCAGACGGGGCGGCTCGGGCCCGAGCGGAATGCACCGTACCCCTCCCTTCCCGGTCACCTGAGGAGGGTTCCAGAAGGAATGACAAGTGCGGGAAGCACCATGAGCTGCGGATGGGGAGCACCTGAGGGAGGGCAGCCATGGAGAGGGCCCCAGAGGGCCCGAAAGTGGAAGCAAGGTCAGTGTGTGCGAAGAGCCCTGAGCTAGGTCTGAGTGTGACCGGCCCGTCTGAGCACATCTCACCGGGCTCTCAGAGCAGCCAGAGGGTCATTGCTCCCGGCCACCGTCGGCGGCAGATGAGCAGGACCAGGGAGTCTCCGTAAGTAGTGGTCTCCCAGGCTCACCGTCGGAGTGGCTACTCACCCTGAAGACTTCAGGGTTCCAGGACGTAGCCTGTCCCCAGAATAGCGGAGAAAAATGACCCTCCCTCTGCCCTTCCATGTTCTAGGCTGGGCCCCCTGTACCAGGAGAAAAACGAGGGACAGAAGTCACACGTATACCTTACCTGCACACAGGGGACACCCCAGGAATTCTCCACCGAGAGGAAGCTCCCGCGATTTACAATCGTCCTTCCCTGCCAGCTCAGAGAGGGAGGCCCCCTGACAAACCAGCGTCAAGTCCCCCACAAAAGGGAACTGTAGCCTTTGTCTTTAGAGCTTCTCCTCTGCCTTCCTCTCTCAAAATATTCAGAGCAAAAGAATCCTTGTGCTAAAGAGGCCTCTTTGGGAGGGCACATTCTGGTCTCCCACACCACCCAGATGAAGGCACGGAATAAACCGCATCCCAGGACGGGTTCATGAAACATAGCTGGGGTCCTGGCCGCCGGTCTCTTAAACTGGGATTTTCTGTTGTGCCAAACCAAGTTGTAAATGAACCCAGGCCTGTGGTCTCAGTGCTCCGTGTTTGTCCTCCAAGGCTATGCTGCTCGTCACCATGGCCACGGCAAGCGAGGAATTTAGCACACTCTCCCACTGGTCCCGTGAAAAAGAAAACCACAGGCCCCCACATGGTGTTACTTAAGCCAAGTCACCAAACTGGGCCTTCATACCTGACCTGACTGCCGTTCCAACCTCCCCCGAAAATGTGAGTCTTACCTAGTCGGTCAGCCACTTTCTGATCAGCACCAAGGAGGCCTCTGTCCCCCGGGCCTTCTCCAGCCCCCAGCGGAAGACGAAGCCCCCTGCCCTTCCCCCAAAGGGAAGGTGACCTTGCCTGAAACAATCCTTTCTTCACTTTTGCCGGTAACTTCCTTGCCCGCCCTCCCTCCAGTAAAAACCATCCTTTTTGTACAAGTCCTCCAAGCTACCCTCCACTTGCTAGACAGGATGCTGCCCCATTCATGAATCCCTTCATAAAGCAAATTATCTTCAAATTTACTAGGTTGAATTGTGTTTTTCAACAATCCGTACCACTCTGAACTCTTCCAGGCACACCCTGACTTACAGAGTTCATTCTATGAGCAGCCAGGTCTTGGGAAAAGCTTACCAGGGCCCAGGAACCTAGTTTTGAACGAGCAAGATGAGGCGCAGGAAGGACAGGAGTGTGGAGGACTCTGGCAGAGGACCAGAGACTGGAGGTGACACAGCCTCAGGTGGGGCTAAGAAAGGGGGCCATTTCCTTTTTCAGAGAGAGACAGATCAAGATTCAGATCACTTGAGGAGGCCGTTGTAGATCTGGAAAGTGAGCAGGGTGTCCCTTTATTCTGCAGGAATATAAAAATGTGACCACACTTTGCATCTGAGAAGCCCAAAGCATTTCAGAGTATTTGGGAATTAAAGGTGAGTTGGATTATCCTTGGGAAATGTTTTTGTCAGCATAGCGACTGATACTACGTGACTCACAAGCAATGAATGGCTCCAGGGCTACAGGTGGGAGTGGGGAGGGGGGAGCTGGGTCCCACATAGGTGCTGGGGCGAGGTGAAACCACGGGCTGCAGGCTGAGCTGCTCAGGGGAAGAAGGAAGGCCAACTGTGGAAGCTGGTTCCAGAAGGTGTAGCTCTAAGGTAGTGAAAATCAGACTCTTGTTTTCCAGATCCTTCTGTTGCTGATCTAGCAACTTCTTCAGTGCCTTTGGTGCTCCCTCGATCGGGAACATACTTCTATCTAATGGAAGAAAATTTTCGACTGGCCTGTGACTTACCCCAAATCTCTTCTCACGCCCCAACTCAAACCAAAAATCAGTTACGAAATTGTGTATCGGAGCACTATGGCTCACAGGGAGTCGGCGTGCTGTCCACAGACCAATAAAAAGGGCGCATTCCTTATGACGGCACAGAGCCTGTGCGTGTTTTGAAGGTAAGTCTTCCGGGAACTCTGAGTACTTTCCTTGCGGATGCTCTGTCTGCGGAATCCCTGTCGACTCTCAAAAGCTCCGGCCAAGGGCCACTGTGCAGAGAAGGAAGCCCGCCGTGTTTACTTTGGCGCGTGTTGGTGGTAGTCGGTGCGGGCCCCGGCAGCCACAGACTGGGGCTTGAAGACCACGGATGCACGTCTCACAGGGCTGTGGCTGCGAGTCTGAGGTCAGCACTCTGGCGGATGCAGTCTGCAGAGAACCCGAGTCCTGGTCTGCAGATGGTCACCTGTCCCCTCCTCCAGAGGGAACCCATACACGGCATTAACCCCGTCACGGGGCCTCCATGTCCGTGACCTAGGGCCCCCCCAAAGGCCCCATCTCCTCACACTACCACACAGGGGGTGATGTTTTCAACATAAGAATTTCAGGGGACACAGCATTTATTCCGTAGTAATTTCTAATGGACAGCGTAACCCACTGATATCAATACACGGGGAAACGTGGCAGGTGTCCCAGCCCTCGGTGTCTCTCTTGTGGGACGCGGTGGTGGCCTCATACAGATCCTTTTGTCCATGTGTCCTATTCTCAGGGACATGTTTCCAAACCACCCTCATACAACTTAATGAATTTGGAGAATGTTATATGGAAAAATAAGATGGGAAAGCTGGAAGACCTTGTGTTTTCAACGGCCAGCAGACGGAAACAGATAAAGCCCCACGAGACACGGAGGATGTCTGTGGCATTCCACACGACCGTCACTAGGAGCTTTGCTCCAAGATGTCCTTCCGAAGGTGTGGCATTCTAACCAAGGATTGAACTCCCACTGCCCTGTCCCAACCCGGGCTCCACGATCCCCGTCCCTCCCCCGAGACAGGTGCTCCTCCCGTGTGGGATGGAAAATACACACCTGCCCTCCTTTGACCTTTGTTGACCCTTCCGTAATCTTCCTTCCTATCCCCGTGTTTTCAATTATCCCTAAAACGGTGGACATACATTTACCAGAAATGGATGTTTCCAGAAAAGTAAACTTGCATGCATCAGGATTGAATGGAGGGTCGAATGGAGGTCTGCTCTATCAAAATTTGGGAATGATAAATATGTCTTTAAATATGACCCAGGGGCACCTCAGTGGGTTAGGCGTCTGACTCTTGATCTCAGCACAGGTCTCGATTTCAGGGATTTTGTCAGCTGCTTGTGCTAAAGGGCCCCGGGGGTGGGTTGCCCCTGCAACGGGTCACAGAGCCGTTGTCCCTTATTTCTGGTCTGGGGGCCGAGGGCGAGAGCAGGGGTGAGGTCAGTCTGCTAGGGCGGGGCTGCTGGGGGGCGGCTCGCCTTCCCGGGGAATCGAAGCTGACGTGGGCAGGACCTTCTGCCGCATCAGGTCACAGGTCAGGACTGCACCCAGGCCCTGAGAACCGTTGGTCACCCACGGAATCATAGATGGCCGTGATGACCTAATGCCGTTCCTCTCTCCTGCTCGAAGGCCAATTCCTGTTGCGTGAGCCATCTGCCGGCTCTCCCTTCCCTTTTCTGTTAATCTCTGTCCTTACCGTGCTACACACCCAACAGCCCCCCCCAACACCCCCACACATACCCAACACCCCCCAAAACACACACCCAGCACCCCCCACACACCCAACACCCCCCCACACACGCAACACCCCCCAAAAGACACACCCAGCACCCCCCACACACCCAACACCCCCCCACACACACACCCCCCACACATCCACATACCCACACACCCCCAAAACACACCCCACCCCCCACACACACCCACACCCCCCCACACACACTTGTTTGGGCTTCAGAATATGTTACCGCAAACATGGCCCTTGGGCATCCTGAGTATTTAACGCTGGAGAAATCTGGGGACGGGGCTTCAGGAGGGCCTCTGACCTCCCCCTGCGGCAGGTGCAGTCCATCCTTGTCTCCCCGCAGAGAGCCCCCGGGGCAGTCCTGGCCAGCAGCCCTGGCTGGACGTCCCCGCAGGACACATTTCCCGAGGCCGCGCTGGTCAGCAAACGCGGGGCAAGGACGCTCAGGCCTCACCACCGCCCTGGTCTTCATCTCCTCAGTGAGGCTCCCGGGTCTTACTTACGCTAGTAAACGTGGATGCTTTCCTCTTTTTCATCTGCCAAGGCAGCTGACGTGGCCGAGAACCCAGGAGGCCGAGCGAGGCCGGCGTCTCCTCCCCTGCAACGCCCCTCCCCGTTGATTGTCTTAGGTTGTCTTGCTCGGAACGTGACGTTGAGGCAACATAAAGGATATAACAGCACAGAAAGAACGCCATGGGTAGAGCGGGGGACTCTCAAGGACAGACGGGGTCCGAGAGCAGAGCGGGGGACTCTCAAGGACAGACGGGGTCCGAGAGCAGAGCGGGGGACTCTCAAGGACAGACGGGGTCCGAGAGCAGAGCGGGGGACTCTCAAGGACAGACGGGGTCCGAGAGCAGAGCGGGGGACTCTCAAGGACAGACGGGGTCCGAGAGCAGAGCGGGGGACTCTCAAGGACAGACGGGGTCCGAGAGCAGAGCGGGGGACTCTCAAGGACAGACGGGGTCCGAGAGCAGAGAGGAATGTGCTGGGACAGGATCCCAGGGTGCTCCCCGACTCCAGCCGGCGCCCGTCAGGTCCTCTTAGGGCCGCCTTGGAAGCCACATCCCAGGACATGGCTCTAGATGTGGGACAGGTGTGCGGGGAGCAGGGACATGTCTGTTCTGTCATTTTGCAGAGTCTAGTCTATCTGCATTTACTATGGGCTTCATGTTTACGTTTATGCTGTTTTTCTACTTTGTTCGGAGTCTGTATAGTGACCAATAATTTTTGGGGGGTGTTCTGGTGATTGAAATATAAAGACGAAATACAGAAGTTTGATTTTTTTCCTTAACATGTATTTTAAATATTGCTGCTGAGCCCGTGGCTCTCCCATGTGTGCATCACTCTGCTGTGTGGACACTGACCGGAGGTGAGGAGGGGAGGGAGGGACCCGGACTGTTCCGGAGTCTTCCTTGGGCGGGAACAGTCCGGATGCTGCGTGGCCGGAGCTGAGGGAAGCCCAGGGGGCTCCTGAGGCTCTGGCAGGGCCAGAGGGGAGGGAGTGGGTGGGCAATGGGCAGCCTCATCTTCCTGAGAGTGGGGCATCCAGGAGGTGATGCAATAGGTGTCTGGGCTCCGGATGGGGCTTCCTGGGGGGGGGGCCCAGGGGCCTGGTCTGCAGCACCTGCCCCTCTGCTGTGTTTTCTCTGTCCTCTCTGCTTTTAATACCCACGGGGCTGAGTGCATGACGCAGGCACCTGCAAGATCTCTAGAACCTTCTAGAATCCTCACCAGACTCGGGCTTTTTATTTATTTATTTAAAAATGTTTTGGTATTTCCACGGCGACCACGTTCAGTAGGATAGTTGTAGACAAAGGAACCAGAGAACCAACAGTCCTCCCAGGACCCCTGTCTCCACTCTGTGCAGCCTCTCCTGTCCTGACCCTGAGCCCAGAGCGCTGGCTTTCACTCCGGCTTCCCAGGTCCTCCCCTCCCCTCACTGGCTGAGGCTGGCTTCCTGCCCCAGCCCACGGGTGCTGCTCCCTAGGGCTACCGTGGCAGACGCGCGTGGCCGGCCCCCAGTGCGGGGGCCGGGCGGGGGGGAGGCAAGCCGATCCAACCTCGCTGTTCCTGAGTTGTTTATACTTCTGCTCTCTGTACTATTCACTTACGGCATCACAAACATCTTATTCACGAGCCTCTTAACTAATGTTTAACCACTCTGCGGCACCCTAAAAAGTACATTTATCATCAGTTGTTAAAGCGTTCCTCTAAAATAGAACTTTTGGGTTATTTTTATTTATTTCCGTGCATTTACAATTGTTTTTAGTATATGGTATTTTACGATAGACTTCTGGAATTACTGGGTCCAAATTTGAATTTTATAAGGTCTTTGACATGATGGCTAAACTGCTTTCCAGAATGTTTGTAAGAACTCCAGCCATGTTGCCCCTCAGACGAAAACGGCTTTTCAGTAATCAGGTTGACAGACTTAAGTTACTGACAGCGTCTCCTGGACCCACCACCTTCTGCCTTAACTCCATTTGGTCCTAAAGGCGGGGCCTTCGACAGAGCGGGCACCTGCGGCCCGCCACTTGCGGGCTGAGGGAGGGCGCCCCTCCCTCTCCTCAGTCACTGTGATGAGGCTGGCCAAGCTGTTACCTCTGTGATCTCAGACAGCACCAGCCGGCTGGGTGCTCAGGTGGCCCTCAGTCTCGGGGAGGTAGAGGACCCCTGCGGGGATACACTTTGGATTTAACAAAGATCACTGGGCCTCTTCCTCAAACGTTATATTTTGGGGGTTGTGTCTATTATAAGAGGGTGTTTCTGGAATTTTATTTATTTATTTATTTATTTATTTTTAAGATTTTATTTATTTATTTGACAGAGAGAGACACAGTGAGAGAGGGAACACAAGCAGGGGGACTGGGAGAGGGAGAAGCAGGCTTCCCGCAGAGCAGGGAGCCCGAAGTGGGACTCGATCCCAGGACCCTGGGACCATGACCTGAGCCGAAGTCAGACGCTTAACGACTGAGCCACCCAGGCGCCCTGTTTCTGGAATTTTAAAGGGTGACTTTTACTCAAATAGACGAAGGTAAAGTGGGTAATTCATTGATACATCATATTTGAAGGGTAATTTAAGCTTTATGGGTGGTCCTTGCCGATAGTTTGGAAGAAACAATGGATGATGAGGTACCCAGGGGCAATCACTGGTGAGTGACCACGTGGGCCCTTGGAAGTGAGCTGCAGGAAGGGACACGGCATCGCTCAGGGCACCTGAACCCGCAGGACGTGGCCATCACACTCAGCCAACCTAGGCAGGGTCTGCAAACCAACCGCCCTGGAGACCGAGGAAGGAAGGCCCAGGGGCTGCCCAGGAGTGAGGGACCAGGGGCGTGAGCACCGAGAGCAGCCTGGGGTCCTCCAGGATATCAGATAGGGGCAAAGCTGTAAAGGACATTACGGGTTCAGCTGGAGCATCTGGATACACCCGCAAGTTAGGAGGACGTCCTACCACGTGTGGTCGTGTTGGAGAACGTCCTCGTTCTGGGGAGGCACCTGCCGTTGGACGTGACGTGTCCTCACACGAGCAAATGTGGCAGAGTGACTTTCCACACAAGCGAGGGGCAGGGAGCCTCCCCAAACTCCTGCGGTGGGTTTGAGAAATCACTGCCGCCGCGCCTTCGAGGAGGGGGCGCGCACCCCGACCGACAGGGCGGCTAAAGCCCCTGGCTTCGGGGCGAGACGCTCGTCGAGGCCCACACAGCGCTTCCAGACTCAAGTGAAGACGCAGACCCCGGGTAGAGATCCATCAGGCTACAAATGTGGCAACACCTTTTTTATTTAGAGTAAGATGTGTTAACATCCAGCATGACAAAGTTTGTACAAAGTTCACAATTTAAAAATGAAGTGTCACTGCAACCTGTGATTCCACACATTTTAGCAAAATTAAAGTGTCCACAAACCCATGCCGTGTAGTACAAAAATAAATGAAACTTCAGTTCCACAGAGAGCACAATAAATATTTATACAAAATTCTGTCTTAATAAATGATTACTTAAATTAACTTAGAAATGATAATGAACAATAAGTTATAATAAATAGACTCTGATGACTCACAATAATTCCATATGAAGGGTCAGCATTCTAATATGTGACACTTTGTGATCCCTATATAATAGTCACAGATAACTTTTGATTTGATATTATGTACCAACGTTAGATGAGCAGCAGATTTGTGCTTAAAACCCCTTTCCATTGTACATAGGTGATAACAAGAAGAATCCAAAACTGATACTACCTATCATTCTACTAAAAGCATTACTATATTGGCAAAAAAGCTGCAGACACGACGCGGCGGGGGAATGCATGTGCCCATGTGAACAGCGGGCCCCTGCGGGGAGGGGGTCCCCCCAGGGTCCACGGCATCGGCATCGGGTGACGAGAAGCACCTCGCTTCAGCTCTCGAAAGGCAATTCTGAGCATGGCAGCTACAATTAGTCGCACAACAGAAAGAGGGCGCGCTCCAGGGACGGCGCGGCAGAGCCCCGGGGAATTACATCATCTGTCCCAGCTCGCTATTCGAGTCCTCGTGGAAAACCGTGCGCGTTTGTACAGTGAGCAGTATAAAGTGCTGCTGGGATGTACATATATTTGTACATATATATACACCGAGGTTGAGTATTGTATCAGAATATTTGCTGTGAGATCCCTGTAATCTCCCGTAGCAACATCGTCGGGTCAGCCGTGAGGGCTCCCCTCGTCCTTCCGGGGTCAGCCTCGCGAGGCCGCTGACCCCAGGAATTGCACACCTCCGTACGGATATATAGGACAAGGTAAGTGCAAATAGTCGACTGGCACGTTGTGGGGACAATGACCCTGTAAGTCCTGTTCTGCTAAAAATATTTTTTTTTTATTTTTACAAAACCCATCTTTTTTTTTTTTTTCATAACAAAATTTTAAAGTACTTCTGTACCTTCCTGCATAACATCAAGACATGGAAGGAAGAGATGCTGTCACATGTAACTCAACACCAGAAAACACAACACGCCGTCCTAGGGACTACTCAGAAGGGAGGGGGAACGCGGCAATCAAAAGTGGTCTTATGCATACATATAGTGCAGTCATTGGAAGAAAACAATCAAATCTCCAAGTATAAGCAAGTCTAAGATGATCTAGTGTAAAGCAAAAAAGTGCTCAAGTATAGAGAATTACTCTTAAAATCTGATTGCATTCATTCTTAGAATAGGTTGTGACAAATCAAACAGCAAGGGTATGCAAATGCCCCGCGGTCACCTGGTCTCCAAGGGGAGTTGGAACAGGAAGGTCATTTGCGGAGCAGTCTGCGGGGACGGGCGGGGGGCGGGCGCCCTGCTGCGCTGCTTTCGGGCGGCCAGCCCCCTCCCCTCTCCCCCCGCCCCCCCAGCCCCCCTGCCCAGCAGAAAGCACGTGCAGTAGCTCACGGACTAGCACACCATTTGCCTTATCCCCCGAACGTGGAGGAATAATCACAGCGACAACGATAGTAATCATTTTTGAAAGTGGAGAGGGGAAATAAATACTCTTAAATTAGCTCTGAACTTAAAGAGAGCACACAGGTCCTGCGAGACACACGCCATTCCAGTGACAGAGGGTTCCGAGGGGCACAGCGCTCTCGGGGAGAGAGGGGAAGCCTGCTCCAAAGTCTACGGACACTGCAAAAGGAAATCTTCGCGCGGTCCACCTCTAACAAGCCCCTGTCTGAACTGAAGTTCCCAGAGTCACACCATGTAATGCTCAGGAGTTAACTTAAAAGTGCTGTTTAAGCTGCTTTGAATCTTCTGCCAAATTTCCATGGCTTGATGTTGTCTTACAATAAATTACTTATCTCATCTCTTACAGTTAATCCATATGCCATTTCCTTGGAATGCAAAAAACCTCATTTACTGCCCCCACCATACACCATCCTCCTAAAACAAACAAACAAAAAAATCACATAATATTTCCAAGCATTGTTCAAAAATAAAGCATTTTTTTGCAACCGATTCTTGCTATGAAACAATATGCACACAAAATGTATTTCTTAATTCCATAAAATCCTCCAACATGAGGCAAAATGATAATGTCTAAAAAGTGGCTGAGAGGCCACCACATGATCATTCAAAGCTGTGGGTTTTTTTTTTTTTTTGTCCATTTCAGTCCAAAATACTAAAACATTTAATCACTAAAGCATTAAAAAGAATTTACACTCTATTTATTTTGATCAGCTTACCTCTTCAGAAATATATATACCCCCCGGTGTGCAGACTTTAGCAGCCATAAACATTACATGGCATTTGTCACACTATGTCAGCTCATATGAAAACGTACAAAATGTGGATGTATTCAAAAACTATTCTGCAGGTAACAATCTTTAAAGCAAGACAGAAAATCATCATGAAGTCTTGTGAGCGTAACACTGTTTCCAACAGAAATAGGTATGTGACACTTTCTGGCGAGTCACAGCAGCAAGGAGGAAGAGGCCCCCTTCCAACAAGGTCCCGCCACCTCAGCAGCCGCTCAGACCTGGATTCCTCTCACAGCGTGCTTTATATTTTCCAGGAGGGCTTTATTTTCTGGGCTCTGATAACGGTCTTGATTTGTATACATGTCCGTCAAAGTAGTCACGTATGCATCAAAATTTTGTTCATTGATTGGATCCTACGAGATACCAAATAGTAGTTCATACACAACTTTTACTTTCTTAATAGGATACTCACATCAGCAAAAAATAGCAGCAAAGCGTGGCGCCACTGTCTTTACATCACTTACGCGGCCCACTCAGCGTACTTCGTCTGACGGGGCGCAGGGGCACAGCCACCGAGACAGACCTCTACCCCACGCCGTGCACTGCGGGGGACCGCCCGGCGCCTCGGGTCGCGCCCCTAGTCACTTACCATGTGTGGCAGCTGGATATTAGCTAGACTGTGAATTAAGGACTGGCTCAGGTTGGCCAGCTCATGGAGAAGGGACTCGTTCTGCTGCTCGATCACTTTGTTCTCCTCTTCGATGGTCTTCAGGCTGCTCTCCATCGTGGTGATCTGGAACGCACAAATTGGGGTGACATGTAACACAAGGCAGGCCGCCGTCTGCCCGCGCCAGGAGAAAAGCCCTTCTGCTTTAACAGAAAGGCTTCCGTGGCCAGAGCCGGTCATTTTAAGGGTTCGGTTTTTACCCTTCAACTCATTACACTTGCAAGTTCGGTAACCGGACGCTGGGGCTCAGCTTTCTGGGGAGGGGTTCATGGGCTGTGTCAGCTGCTACCCAGCGTTTGCAAAGCTCTGCTGTCCTCACCCATGGCCTATCACAGGATGACATCTCCGTCAGCCACTCTGACCCTCCCCGCCGCCGGGGCCACCTCCTTCCAGCCCGCATCCAGTTCTGCCACAGGGAGGTCCTGAACTGTGATTTACTGGAGAGGCGGGTCACCGTCTTGTTCACAGGTGCCAGGTGCCCTGCGTTCATGTCCCTGCTCCCTGCGGCTCCTCGGGTGGAACAGGCAGACGCCCTCCTTATCTGCAGGTGGAGGGACGAGGGCCGCATTCCTGCCTCGTGGGCAGGCCTATTCGGCTTCCTGGTATTTGCCAGAGGGGATCTAACTGTCCTCAGTCTCCCTGCCCCCCTCCAGCCAGGTGACCCGTGACTGACACAGCCAGGTGCGCCCATAGGCGGACGGAGGGGAGCTGCCCCGACCTGTCTGGGCTGCAGGGTGCACAGCCAGGACCAGGCAGGCCCGGCGCGGGGACCGAGGGCACCGTCAGGGCCCAGGACACGGGGACATGAGCCCGGGCCCTCACGTGGAAACTGCCTTTCCCCTGAGTTACCTTAAACGCCCCCCAAAGTCTGCCCCCCACCGTTTCTCATGGACGGATCCCCCGCTCCCGTTAGCCGGCCTGGTGCTTTCCCAGGGAGCCAAGAGACGGGGGTCGAAGGGCTGTTGCCTCCCCCGCACTAGGGTGAGTCAGGCCGACTCTGGGTTGTTTTCTGGAAAACAGAAATGACAGGACGTGCTCTGGGAGCATCTCCTGGAGAGACGTGCACGGTATTTGCGCTAGGAAGACCTTTGTTATTCCTGCACTTCTGATCCAGTCAGGGGTCCCCACTAAAGTGATGTACCCCAGAAACGTCCTGGATTGCTCCCCTGCTCTGGCTGCCTGCCCTCAGGCCCTGTTACCCTGCCCCAGGCCCTGCCTCCCTGCCCCCAGGCCCTGCCTCCCTGCCCCAGACCCTGTCTCCCTGCCCCAGGCCCTGACTCCCTGCCCCCAGGCCCTGCCTCCCTGACTCAGAGCCTGCCTCCCTGCCCCAGGCCCTGTATCCCTGCCCCCAGGTCCTGCCTCCCTGCCCCAGGCGCTGTCTCCCTGCCCCTAGGCCCTGTCTCACTGCCCCCAGGCCCTGTGTCCCTGCCCCCAGGCCCTACCTCCCTGCCCCAGGCGCTGTCTCCCTGACTCAGACCCTGCCTTCCTGCCTCATACCCTATATCCCTGCCCCCAGACCCTGCCTCCCTGCCCCCAGGCCCTGCCTCCCTGCCCCCAGGTCCTGCCTCCCTGCCCCAGGCCCTGTCTCCCTGCCCCCAGGCCCTGTCTCACTGCCCCCAGGCCCTGTGTCCCTGCCCCCAGGCCCTACCTCCCTGCCCCAGGCGCTGTCTCCCTGACTCAGACCCTGCCTTCCTGCCTCATACCCTATATTCCTGCCCCCAGGCCCTGTCTCCCTGCCACCAGGCCCTGCCTTCCTGCCTCAGACCCTGTCTCCCTGCCCCAGACCCTGCCTCCCTGCCCCAGGCCCTGCCTCCGTGCCCCAGACCCTGCCTCCCTGCCCCCAGGCCCTGCCTCCCTGCCCCCAGGTCCTGCCTCCCTGCCCCAGGCCCTGTCTCCCTGCCCCCAGGCCCTGTCTCACTGCCCCCAGGCCCTGTGTCCCTGCCCCCAGGCCCTACCTCCCTGCCCCATGCGCTGTCTCCCTGACTCAGACCCTGCCTTCCTGCCTCATACCCTATATCCCTGCCCCCAGGCCCTGACTCCCTGCCACCAGGCCCTGCCTTCCTGCCTCAGACCCTGTCTCCCTGCACCAGGCCCTGCCTCCCTGCCCCAGGCCCTGCCTCCCTGCCCCAGGCCCTGCCTCCCTGCCCCAGGCCCTGCCTCCCTGCCCCCAGGCCCTGTCTCCCTGCCCCCAGGCCCTGCCTTCCTGCCTCAGACCCTGTCTCCCTGCCCCAGGCCCTGCCTCCCTGCCCCAGGCCCTCCCTCCTGACCCAGACCCTGCCTCCCTGCCCCAGGCCCTGTCTCCCTGCCCCAGGCCCTGCCTCCCTGCCCCAGGCCCTGCCTTCCTGCCTCAGACCCTGTCTCCCTGCCCCAGGCCCTGCCTCCCTGCCCCAGGCCCTGCCTCCCTGCCCCCAGGCCCTGTCTCACTGACCCCAGGCCCTGTCTCCCTGACTCAGACCCTGCCACCCTGCCCCAGGCCCTGACTCCCTGTCCCCAGATCCTGTCTCACTGACCCCAGGCCCTGCCTCCCTGCCCCAGGCACTGCCTCCAGACCCAGACCCTGCCTCCCGACCCAGACCCTGCCTCCCTGCCCCCAGGCCCTGTCTCCCTGTCCCCAGGCCCTGCCCCCCTGCCCCCAGGCCCTGTCTCCCTGCCCCAGGCCCTGCCTCCCTGCCCCCAGGCCCTGTCTCCCTGCCCCAGGCCCTGTCTCCCTGCCCAAGGCCCTGCCTCCCGGCCCCAGACCCTGCCTCCCTGCCCCCAGGCCCTGCCTCCCTGACCCAGGCCCTGCCTCCTGACCCAGACCCTGCTTCCCTGCTCCCAGGCCCTGACTCCCTGCCCCCAGACCCTGCTTCCCTGCCCCCAGGCCCTGTCTCCCTGCCCTAGGCCCTGCCTCCCTGCCCCCAGGCCCTGTCTCTCTGCCCCAGGCCTTGTCTCCCTGCCCAAGGCCCTGCCTCCCTGCTCCAGACCCTGCCTCCCTGCCCCCAGGCCCTGACTCCCTGCCTTCAGGCCCTGCCCCCTGACCCAGGCCCTGCCTCCTGACCCAGACCCTGCCTCCCTGCCCCCAGGCCCTGTCTCCCTGCCCCAGGCCCTGCCTCCCTGCCCCCAGGCCCTGTCTCCCTGCCCCAGGCCTTGTCTCCCTGCCCCAGGCCCTGCCTCCCTGCCCCAGACCCTGCCTCCCTGCCCCCAGGCCCTGACTCCCTGCCTTCAGGCCCTGCCTCCCTGACCCCAGGCCCTGTCTCCCTGACCCCAGGCCCTGTCTCCCTGACCCCAGGCCCTGCCCCCCTGACCCCAGGCCCTGCCCCCCTGACCCCAGGCCCTGTCTCCCTGCCCCAGGCCCTGTCTCCCTGCCCCAGGCCCTGTCTCCCTGCCCCAGGCCCTGCCTCCCTGCCCCAGACCCTGCCTCCCTGCCCCCAGGCCCTGACTCCCAGCCTTCAGGCCCTGCCTCCCTGACCCCAGGCCCTGTCTCCCTGACCCCAGGCCCTGTCTCCCTGACCCCAGGCCCTGCCCCCCTGCCCCCAGGCCCTGTCTCCCTGCCCCAGGCCCTGTCTCCCTGCCCCAGGCCCTGCCTCCCTGCCCCCAGGCCCTGACTCCCTGCCTTCAGGCCCTGCCTCCCTACCCAGGCCCTGCCTCCTGACCCAGACCCTGCCTCCCTGCCCCCAGGCCCTGCCTCCCTGCCCCCAGGCCCTGCCTCCCTGCCCCCAGGCACTGCCTCCCTGCCCCCAGGCCCTGTCTCCCTGCCCTAGACCCTGCCTCCCTGCCCCCAGGCCCTGTTTCCCTGCCCCAACCCTGTCTCCCTGACTCAGACCTTGTCTCCCTGCCCCTAGGCCCTGTCTCCCTGCCCCCAGGCCCTGTCTCCCTGTCCCAGGCCCTGTCTCCCTGACTCAGACCTTGTCTCCCTGCCCCCAGGCCCTGTCTCCCTGCCCCAACCCTGTCTCCCTGACTCAGACCTTGTCTCCCTGCCCCTAGGCCCTGTCTCCCTGACTCAGACCCTGCCACCCTGCCCCAGGCGCTGTCTCCCTGTCCCCAGACCCTGCCTCCCTGCCCCAGGCCCTGCCTCCCTGCCCCAGGCCCTGCCTCCAGACCCTGACCCTGCCTCCCTGTCCCCAGGCCCTGTCTCCCTGTCCCCAGGCCCTGCCCCCCTGCCCCCAGGCCCTGTCTCCCTGCCCCAGGCCCTGCCTCCCTGCCCCCAGGCCCTGTCTCCCTGCCCCAGGCCCTGCCTCCCTGCCCCCAGGCCCTGTCTCCCTGCCTTCAGGCCCTGTCTCCCTGACCCCAGGCCCTGCCTCCCTGACCCAGGCCCTGCCTCCTGACCCAGACCCTGCTTCCCTGCTCCCAGGCCCTGACTCCCTGCCCCCAGACCCTGCTTCCCTGCCCCCAGGCACTGCCTCCCTGCCCCCAGGCCCTGTCTCCCTGCCCCCAGGCCCTGTCTCCCTGCCCCAGGCCCTGCCTCCCTGCCCCCAGGCCCTGTCTCCCTGCCCCAACCCTGTCTCCCTGACTCAGACCTTGTCTCCCTGACCCCAGGCCCTATCTCCCTGCCTTCAGGCCCTGTCTCCCTGACCCCAGGCCCTGTCTCCCTGACCCCAGGCCCTATCTACCTGACCCAGGCCCTGCCTCCCTGACTCAGACCCTGCCTCTCTGTCCCCAGGCCCTGCCTTCTTGACCCAGGCCCTGTCTCCCTGCCCCCAGGCCCTGCCTCCCTGTCCCAGGCCCTGCCTCCCTACCCCCAGGCCCTGCCTCTCTGACCCCAGGCCCTATCTCCCTGCCCCCAGGCCCTGTCTCCCTGACTCAGACCCTGCCACCCTGCCCCAGGCGCTGTCTCCCTGCCCCAGGCCCTGACTCCCTGTCCCCAGATCCTGTCTCACTGACCCCAGGCCCTGCCTCCCTGCCCCAGGCACTGCCTCCAGACCCAGACCCTGCCTCCCGACCCAGACCCTGCCTCCCTGCCCCCAGGCCCTGTCTCCCTGCCCCAACCCTGTCTCCCTGACTCAGACCTTGTCTCCCTGCCCCTAGGCCCTGTCTCCCTGCCCCAGGCCCTGCCTCCCTGCCCCCAGGCCCTGTCTCCCTGTCCCAGGCCCTGTCTCCCTGCCCCAGGCCCTGTCTCCCTGACCCCAGGCCCTGTCTCCCTGCCTTCAGGCCCTGTCTCCCTGACCCCAGGCCTTGCCTCCCTGACCCCAGGCCCTGTCTCCCTGTCCCAGGCCCTGTCTCCCTGATCCCAGGCCCTGTCTCCCTGACCCCAGGCCCTGTCTCCCTGACCCCAGGCCCTGTCTCCTTGACCACAGGCCCTGTCTACCTGACCCAGGCCCTGCCTCCCTGACTCAGGCCCTGCCTCCCTGACTCAGACCCTGCCTCTCTGTCCCCAGGCCCTGTCTCCCTGCCCCCAGGCCCTGTCTCCCTAACTCAGACCCTGCCTCCCTGACTCAGACCCTGCCTCCCTACCCCCAGGCCCTGCCTCCCTGTCCCAGGCCCTGCCCCCCTACCCCCAGGCCCTGCCTCTCTGTCCCCAGGCCCTATCTCCCTGCCCCAGGCCCTGTCTCCCTGACTCAGGCCCTGCCTCCCTGCCCCCAGGCCCTGTCTCCCTGTCCCAGGCCCTGTCTCCCTGCCCCAGGCCCTGTCTCCCTGACCCCAGGCCCTATCTCCCTGCCTTCAGGCCCTGTCTCCCTGACCCCAGGCCTTGCCTCCCTGCCCCCAGGCCCTGTCTCCCTGTCCCAGGCCCTGTCTCCCTGCCCCAGGCCCTGTCTCCCTGACCCCAGGCCCTATATCCCTGCCTTCAGGCCCTGTCTCCCTGACCCCAGGCCCTGTCTCCCTGACCCCAGGCCCTGTCTACCTGACCCAGGCCCTGCCTCCCTGCCCCCAGGCCCTGCCTCCCTAACTCAGACCCTGCCTCCCTGACTCAGACCCTGCCTCCCTGCCCCCAGGCCCTGCCTCCCTGTCCCAGGCCCTGCCCCCCTACCCCCAGGCCCTGCCTCTCTGTCCCCAGGCCCTATCTCCCTGCCCCCAGGCCCTGTCTCCCTGACTCAGACCCTGTCTCCCTGCCCCCAGGCCCTGTCTCCCTGATTCAGACCCTGTCTCTCTGGCCCCAGGCCCTGTCTCTCTGCCCCAGGCCCTGTCTCCCTGCCCCAGGCCCTGCTTCCCTGCCCCCAGGCCCTGCATCCCTGCCCCAGCTGTGGGAGGGCGAGGCTCAGCGCCCCCCCTCTCCTGCTCTGGGAGGGGCAGGGAAGAGGAGGAGGCCGATGCTGTCCTCTTAGATCCTTCCTGGAGCAACGATGGGTACCGCTGCGGCAGCGATGCCCAGTGTTAGAAAGGCCAGAGCTAGCTCTGGTAGAAGGTGTCTGTGACGGAAGGCGCCTGCATTGTTCGTTCTGTCCCCATCCTGGAGTGAGGGCACCAGAGGCTGGAGAAAGCCCAGCTTCAGGACCACCAACCTTCCAGCACTTTCTGAGACAAGTGGGGACGTTATGTGTGCCTTGGCCAAAGGTTAGAAGGCCAAGGCACTCACGGGGCTGGCGGGTACGTGGGCTACTTGGCCGCAGCCTCATTTGTCCCTGAGCGCCGCGCGGCCAGCTGAGGCTGCTGGGAATTGGCGGAATGCTCTGCTGCTGAGCTGACACCAGGTCCGGACGGCTCGGCCACGCTGCAGGCTGCCTGTCCTTCATGACACGCCGCCCCCTCCCACCCCGGCGACCGCAGGGCTCAGGGTCCTCCCATCACTTGCAGACGCTGGCCTTCCAGAGAAGAGGAGCCACCCGAGGGACATCGGCCAGGACAGTGAGAATACACAGCAAACCTTAAAACTCATTTTTGACATCAGAGGTAAGCAGATGCCTGGTGGAGCACAGCACGTCGGATGTCAGAGAGCCCTGAAGGGTCCCTGGCGACCTGCATGGGGACAAAACGGCCAGTGGGGGGTGACCGGAGCAGGCATGCTCTGGGGCCCCTGGGAAGCCGGGTCTGGGAGCGTGGTGTCTGGCCCCGCGCCGGCCCCGTCCACAGGCGGGAGAGCTCTGCTGGTCAGACCTGGGGGAAAGCAGCGTTTCCCAGGGGTCACAAGTGTGTTTTGTCACCCTCCTGCACAGAAAAGGGATTCTGAGTCCTCGGGATTGTTGGAGTGCGAGCAGGACTGATGAGGCTGCTCAGGCTGTCACCCTCGGGAGCAGAACCAGAGTCGGGGCAGGTGTTTTCACTGGATCTGGTGAAATCAGTCGTGGCTGAGGTGGGGGCGCGGGGTGTTTGTGTGGCCCTGGGGTCCTCTTGGGGCCAGCACCTCCGGCGGACCTCCGGCCGCAGGCTGATCACAGCCGGGCGTTTGGATAAATGCTACGGAAATCTGCCACCCGTTCCAGGCGAGCCTTTGGCCAGGTGAGCGTGCTGAGCCAGGGGCCAGAGCACAGCCTAGACGAGGCTGCTATGGGCGAGGAGGTGGGTGTGAAAGCGACCCCACGTAGAGAACGCCCACCCTTTGTGCTTCCTTCCCACTCACAGGCACCCATGAGGTCCCTTTTGGGCGTTCTGGTGGGGACACAGCCTGAGATGCCCCTCCCTGGAGATGGGGTGCCACCGCGGACAGAACCAGCCCGCGGCTGAGCTGCAACCACTACCTGGTGTCCTGAGGCCAGACCCGGACCCTACCAGCCACACTGTCGGCTGCCAGGAGGGTCTGCAGGGGTGGGGGGCATGCAGCCCCGCTTTCTCCCAGTATAGAAGTGCCTGGCCGTACCTGTGACCTGCAATGGCGGCCCAATCCCAGAGCCCACGTGGCACCGGGACCCCAGGCCGCTCTGGGAGAGGCGGCAGGGCGCGACGGGCACAGCCTGGGACTCAGGGACAGGAGGCTCTGAGCTGCAGCAGCTTGGCCATCCGCCCCGGCTTAGCCAAGGGGGTCACCGTGTGCGTCAGATGGCAGTGATGACACTTACCTGGTTGACCGCTGTGAGTACAGTGGGGCTACGCACCACAGCCTCACAGTCAGGCATCCAGCGGATGCTCAGTAAAGGCTGTTCCCTCCCTCCCCCCTCCTGTCACTGGGCATCTGGGCCTGGGACCCCCATGAGCTCGCAGCCTTCCACCCGCCCCCGGGGCCACGCTGCCCTTCTCTGGGAGCTTCAGCTCTCTCCCTAGCACAGCGGCCGCAGGGCATTAGGGCCGCCTGTGTCCTGGGAAGGAAGCAGCTCATCTGCAGGCACAAGCGGCCCTCTTGGCAGCACTCCTTGCCGACCGCCTCTCACTAAAGCGTGCGCGGGCAGAAGCCGGGCGGCAGTGGCCACGGTGCGTCCGCGCGTTTTGCTGCCAAAAGCAGGGTGCGAGATGAAGGGGGGCGAGGAGCGAGAGGAAGGGGGAGCACGCGTCCCGGGGCCGGCGCCTGCGGCTAACATTTAGGGTTTCAAAAACTGTTACCTGAGTCCTCAGTTTAATCATGTCGGCCTCCATCTGCGAGTTGGACTCGTTGAGCTCCTTGATTTCCTCGTCTAGCTGTTTGATTTCCTCGTCATTTTCTATACCTGTGGGGGTGACAGGACTGCGTTAAAGCCATCGAACGTGAAGACGGAGTTAGAATTTTGACTTTTCTTTGTTCTTTTTGTATTCGGAACTGAATCTGCTGGACAAATATACTCTTGGGTTAAAAAAAACAGTGACAGTTCACGTGGCCGTCCAGCCCTCCCGCTGCCCTCCTCGCCATCACAGCACCTACACTGCGGAGAGAATCAGCGGAGCACACGCGACCCCCCCGCACCGCGCGCCGGCCCAGAGCCGCTCTGTCCTGGGGTGGGTGACCTGCTTCAGCCCATCACCTGCCTCCTTGGTCTGTCCCCTGTCTGTCTGTCTGTCTCTTTCTCTGCCACCCCTGGGGGATGTGCCAGGCTGTGCGCGGATGCACCCTCACCAGGCCCAGCCCCGCTGCCCACAGGTGGCCAAACCCCCTGACGCCTGGGGTGCTCAGGGCCACCTCCCGCCTGCGCTGCAAGGAAGCCTCGTGCTGGTGGAGGCAGGTTTCAGGGGCCTTCTGAAGGGCTCTCCGCACGGAGGACATTTAACTGATGTAAACAACTCCTCCTTTTGAATGCAGAAAACGCGCCTCCACCGACAAGGCTGGGGTGGTGGCAGCCTTGTGTGTGCCCTGGGGGCCACGCCGGGCGCCTGGGCTGCTTGCTGGCGGCAGGACACGCCAGGGAGGGAACAATCCGGACCCTCCGTCGTTCTGGCCATTGGGTCTCATGCGGCTGAATGTACTCGGGGAAGAAGAGCGGGACGCCTGCAGATGCCATCACCTTTGATAACCCGGGACACGGGTCACAGGGCACAGCAGGGGATGCTCATGCAAAGCCACGGGAAAGGCACGGAGCCCAGGCCTCGGAGGTCCCAGGGCAGACGCCCTTCTGTGGGTCTGCAGACAGAAGGGGTGCGGCCACCTGGGAGGGAAGGCCCGAGACACGGAGGGACACTGCAGAGGCCCGGTGAGCAGGTCCTTCGTCCCGAATCTCTTCCCACAGACCCGCCTGGGGATGCGTGGATCCTGAGCCTGCCGAGGTCCATCCCCCCCACAGGGACCGGCTGGGGCTCGCTTGACCCCAAGCCTGGGTCTTGCAGCCCTGGCCCCACCGCAGAGGCCCTGGGTGCGCGTCCCCGGCCTTTGTGTCCCCGGGTCCAGAGCAACTCTGGTCGCCATCAGATGCATCTCCGGAAGCAGTTCACGGCTCCCAGGAAAGCCTTCCAGCGATGGGGTGTACCCTTTCTCAGGGGCGGGCTGTTACATTTTCCCCCTTTCCACATGAGACCAGACTCTGTGGCAACTTTCACAATTAGGAGTTGGGCTGAGTGAGTTCCTGCATGTAATACTTTGCACTCTGGAGACTCGTCCCGGGAGGTGGCCACCGTAATTATTGGACCGCCCGAGGCCTAAGCATCCTGATTTGTAAGCCCTTTATCCCCTAACCGGGGCTCACCACGCGTTCCTTTAAGTTGCAACCAGCCCAAGCTCGAGGACGTCTCCGGTGTGCACGGGGCCATGGCAGTCTCCACGCGACGGCCCCTCCGTGCCTGGGGCTGTGCTGTGTTCCGAGGGAATTTCTGCTCGGATTTCTGAGTGGGTCCTTCATGTCGTATTTCTTCAGTGTTTCAGGTGTGAACAATCTTAGAACTTCTCTCTTCGCAGCCGTGCGTGATAGTTCCCGCGGAACAGAGAACTGCATGCGCGCGAGGGGCCGTCTCGGGTTCTGGAAGCACGGCAGACTTCCTGCTCTCTCCCACCCCCGAGGCTGGGGTCTCTCCAGTGTCACACTACTTTGAAAGACACCGTTATTCCCTCAGAAGCTCTCTTCTCCGGGCCCCTGCAGTGGGGGACTGTCTCTCCCCAGGGTCTCTCCCAGGGCCGTGTGTGAATGCACTGCCCAGAGCAAAAGCAATCATCAAACAAAAGGACAGGTTTCTTATATCCGTTAGATAAGAATTCTAATTTTTTATGTATGTATCGTGGCTTAAAGTGTCAAAGAGTAGACCTGTTGCGTTTTGAGAAGGTAACCACCGTGGTGGACCCGCACCGGACGGCTGGTGCAGCTCCTTTCCGGGACCGTCATTGGATCGGGACATTGATTTTGGTTACTTCCTGATAGCGCGGGTGATAAATGTTCTGTGCGCATGCCTGTTCCCAACATCAAGATAGCTTGTTTCCACTGAGAATGTACGAATGGAATTATGAACGAAACAACTCGTTTCGGGATAGGCCGTTTGGAGATCACCACGTAATCATAAAGCCCAGAGAACTGTGGGGGAAATAGTGGGCCTAAGGATTGCAATGAAATCATCTTAATTGCCTTGTTAGACATGCTCTATCCATGGTAGCTGATATGAAGTGAAGCATACAGAACAGCCCGAAATGTCAACATGTCCTGGGCCTGTATTCTGGCAAATGCAAGCTTAGAAGTTGGATAAAGGTCTGAGAAGAGCACGTGGTCTCCCCAGAATATGGCTGAAATCTTGGAGGTCCATTCTACTGATCTGAATTTTTACAAAAGAGCATCCAAAAAGACTACTTTCTATTTAACTTTCATGGGCACCAACACGTAAGCAGAGGCAGAGATCACACAACTTGGGATAGATATTTCCTGAAGGCTGGATGTATTTCTGAACCGCCCTGGTGCAGGGTTTGAGAAGTCGGGGGGTTACAGCCTGGGATCTGAAACATGATGGACCTGGGATCTAAATCCATGTCCTTCCACTTAAGAGTTTTGTGATGAGTAATTTTCTTAGTTCTTCTAAACCTCCAAATCCTCCACTGCAGAGTGTCCCTCCCTGACACAGTGGTAGGAAGAGATAACTAAATCTACATAAGACACCTGACTCAGTGGGACTTGCCAAGCGGCGGCTAGAGAAGACCGTTGAACATCAGGAGTTGCCTCAGAAGCCAGAGGCCCCTGAGCATCCGTGGTCTCCGTGCTTACCTGCCCGAAAAGTGGCATGGGCTGGTTTTGTCCTGCTAACTCAGTGCTGCGAGCTGACAAATCATTAAAGGGAAGAGAAAGAGCAAAAATATGGTATGTGGTCTAGCGCAGTGGGCCTCATTTTTTGTTGAATTAAAGAATTAAAAAAAAATTTCTTTTTATAAGTCTTAAAGTTGTCCTCTAAATTTCTTATTCTAAATTTTAATAGTTTCATATATATGAAACTATTAAAAGGGTCGCCTGCAGCCTCCTTGTGCAACAGCAGTCACAGCCCTTTCATATATATGAAACTATTAAAATTTAGAATTATATATATTTAGAATTATATATAGAATTACATATATATATATATAAATGCAAAATTGTATGCTGCAGAGCACCTTAAATATATGTCCATCAAAACCTGGACCAAGATGTTCGGTTCGTAAGATTTACGGGAGATGTCCACTACATAAACCAACCGGCTGATCACGCGTCATCACCAAACCAGTCTGCAGTTCAGATCAACTTCCTGAGGAGGTCATTTTAAGTCCAGTGAAACTGCAGCAAGGGTCGCTTGGTGGCCTTCCCATCTCTGATCTCCCCTCTGGGAGTGCTGAACAATGGACCCGTGAGCATCAGCCGTTCTGCCTCCAGGAAACAGGAGCAGGGTGCCCGCCGTGTCTCCCCATGAGGCGCTCGCGCCCGGCCCTCCGGCACTCCGGGCTGCACCCCCAGAGCCCAGCCATCTGGGCGCCCTCTTGGGTGCCAGCAAGCACTTCGGCCCAACTCTGAGCAGCCTTTCTCTCATGAAGGTGGGGCAAGCAGCACGCCGGGAGGGGCAGGGAGAACGGACGGACCCTCAGTCCCCTGGGTTCAGGAGACCGTCAGGAGGAATTTGAGTGTCTGGAAACGAATTTCCTTAAAGCCGCGAATGTGCGCCTGCCCCTAGGACACCCTGAGGGCCCCAGGGCTCCGCACGAGGCCCACTCCTGGAGAGGGGAGAGCACTGGACCTGGGAGCGCAGACCGGGGTGCAGCGGGGACGGAGACTCCACCCCGGGAAGCCAGGGCCCTTGGCCTGCTTGTTGATGCTTGTGTCTCAGGGCGACACCCACAGGCCCCGCGGGGCCCTCCCCTCGAGGGCGGCTAGGCTGAGCTAAACGTTTGTAACTACCTGCCGCAGGTGAGGCCGCTCGCTGCGCAGGGGCCCGACAGAGGGTCGCTGCAGCCTCCTTGTGCAACAGAAGTCACAGCCCTTCCCTCGGCTTCCTGTCTTCCGTGATAATAGAGGAAAGAAAAAGGAGGGCTTATCTCATTTCCTTCTGGGCAAAACCCAACAAAAACCCACCACAGAGCCAGGGACAGCCCCACTGCCGTGGCAATGCAGGCGGGCGGGCAGGGACGGCAGGCGGCCTCGGTAACGTCTCCCCACACCGGTTGCTCTGGGAGCTCATTCAGTGGGAGAGAAATCACAGTGACCTTGTGCGGGAACAGGTGAGAGCAGACTCCTCTCCAAGCTTGAAGAATGAGATCGAGGAGGAGGAGGGAGGGCAGGGTGGACCAGGGACTTCAGGGCTTCAAGGCCACTTAGAACAGTGCCTTTCCAAGCAGGTGCACACTCGAGGGAAGGCCCTGGGAGCCCAGAGCAGGGGCTGCCCAACCACGCCACGGTGGTCTCCTTGAGGTCTTGGCGCTCCGTGCAGGCCAGGGTGTGGAGGGAGGGAAGCTTCCGGACACGTGTGTTAGGAATGTGTAAGAGCAACACGTAAGATTCTACACTCCAGATACTCAAGGAGAGAGGGATGGAGCTAGGGAGCACCAAAGCCAGATCTTTTGATTCTGAAGGATGGGCAAAGAGTTGCTGAGGAAGGCGGGGTGCTCACGCCCTGTCCCCCGAGGAGCAGCAACGCGCTGCCCCTGAGGTAGCCACACGGGGCGCGGGCGATGCCTGACTGTCCACGTCCTGCGCCACAGCCGTGGCACGGAACGAAGCGGCCCCCGGGCGTAGTGAGAATGACCCTGGTCTGCACAGACGAGACACGACAGGCTGCAGCCCGGCCCCGGGCTCGTGGAGACCCGCCTGGACCGGCTTCCACGGCTCGTGCTCTGGGCACGGAGCGTCCTCGTGGCACGCACGCGCTCACCAGAAGCCGCCGCAGAGAGCCAGGCTCCTGCCCGGACCCCGGGATCAGGCCTCCCGTGTCCAGGCGCAGACCCGGGCGCCGTGTGCAGGTCCCCGCGGGACGGAGCCATCCTGCCGCCTCCTGGGAGGTGGCCCAGACCGCCGCGCGTGCTCCCGTCCCCGAGAGAGCGCTGGTTCTGCGGGCAGCCACGCCCGGCGTGGCCAGAGGACTCTGGGTTCCGCTGCCCCTCGGAAGAGACATGGCCCTTTGTGGTCCTGAGACGCACACCCCGCGACTTCCCGCCGACGGAACGGCCCCTCGTTGGGGTTTGCGGATCCGCTCGTGTTTCCTTTCCTTTCCTGCTCTGCGCTGGCCGCCCAGCTCACGGCTGCCTCCTTCGCTGACGAGTCAGAAGCTGACAAAGCAGACCCACTGGCCCATGGAGCCTTGCTTGGGCACAGGGTTGTCTGGGGGGACAGGCCACGCGGGGCGTTTTGGAAAGAGTGTCGGGGCGGTTTCTTCCGGGGCAATGAGCGCTGCCCTGAGACGCCCAAGACGAGCGACGTGGTGGGCCTGGCGCCTCGGGGAGGCTGCCCCACACGGGGCCTCAGGTTCGGGCGACCGTGCGGGTCCCAGAACGTGTGGGAGGTGGCGCTCGGTCTAACCACGCTCCCTGCCTCCGGCAGCCAGCACCAGTCCAGCAGAAGCCGGAGGCTGGAGCCCACGCCAGCAAGACGCAAACACCATGACCCTCGCCATCTTCCGGCCCGTGGTCAGCCACACATTAAGGACTGTGTAGTGCAAGCCACGCACAGAGGCCCTGAGCTGTGGTCAGGGCCTGTCATGAACGGTCAGGTGACCGGTGGAGGCCGCGGGGCCCTGGCCCCCTGGCCTTCCCGCGAGGGGAGGCAGCCTCACGCAGAGCCTCAGCACAGGAGGCCAGGGTCCACGGGGCCAGAGCCGTGGCACGCAGCTCCTGGGATGGGTCCAGGGACTTCGCCCAGGCGTGACCCACGTCCTGCAGCGCTTGACGCCCTGAGGAGCCCACAGTGAGGGCAGTGCCTGCCCCAGCGTCACGGTCGGCCCGGCTCCGCATCAGCCCCCTGCTCACAAGGTCCTCCTGCCCCCCAAGGCCACAGTTTGCTGAGTGGCTGCAGATGACGCTCCGTTCCGTAGCCCCTGGAGTGACGTCCTCTGGAGTGTCCGCCAACCCCGAGTTAGCTGCCACCCCTGGGCGCCTCTGCTCATTTTCATCGGCCCGTCAGTGTGTACGCTTGTGTTGCATGTATTTCTGCTGGAAAACACCCTCCTGCATGCACAGTGTTGCTTCATGAACTCTGACCTCACGGCCAGCAGCGCATGACTTGGCGTGGACGGGCTCACCTAACACACCCGTGTCCCCTTGGGTGCCTTGCAGCCCTGGTGCAAGGAGCACTCGCCTGTGCCACGCGTGGGGGCCTTTCATGCAGAAGTCACCAACAAAAGCTCCCCAAATTTGGAAAAGGTCCCATTTAGGAGACTAGGAAAGGACCCTGTTACAGGATGAGTGTGGTCTCGTCTCCTCAGCCAGCAGACACTTCTCCCGCCCTGCCACATCCCCAGGGACCACGAAAACACCACGAGTACTGACTTTGGGGTCCCAGAGGGGCTCTGCCGCAGGGGGGGTTTACAAGGATGAAGCTGGGCCCCTGGCCCTCCCGGGGGGCCCCTGCACTCTGTGCCCAGGGGCGCCCACAGGCACGTGGAGGGAGATGGTGCTTGTGCGTGGTCAGGCCCGTCCACTGGGAGGCTGAGCATGGAGGGGACAGGAGTGCTGTCCTGGACTCGGCCCCTGCAGGAGGGCCTGGGGGCAAAGGCACAATGGGGGGCTGCCGGGGTTCTGGGGAGCAAATCACTGGGACTGTCAGGGGTCCCAGCAAGCGGTGAGTTTGGGGATGCCCCTCCTCCAGCGAGTGGACTAGCTTCCTAGACGTGGACGGAATAATCCCGCCCCGGCTCTCGAAGCAGAAAGGCTGCCACCGTCTGGGGCTCCGTCTGGGCGGGACAGGCCGGGGCTGGGGCCGCGGCGGCCGCCCCAGGGAGGGGTGCTCACCATTGCTGGCCCGTTGTCGGATGGTCAGCATCTGCTCTCCAGACAGCTTCGCCTTCTTCATGGCTGACGTGGCTCGTGGGCACCCCGACAAGCTGGGGACAAGACACAAGGGAGCATGAGTTATGGGTCTCTGAAGAAGAGCCCCCAGCCCTGCAGCGAGAAGAGTCAGGAGCCCGGCACGTCACCGAGGCATTTTATCAGACTGGTTGCCGGCAAAGGGCTTTGTGGCAAAGGGAAATGAGCCCGAGCGGCGGACGCCGTGTGGCCCACTCCCTGCACATGAGGGAGGCTGCGTCTGCCTGTGGATCAGGGGCAGTTCCAGGCTGACACACGGCTGGTCGGGGCCTCAGCGGAAGTCACGGTGGCCGGGCTCCGGCCGGAGCAGACACGCCCTTCACCGCATGCCTCCTGGGGCCGCTTGGGGTTCTCTATGGAGCGACTATCTGGAAACTTCCTTACTGTGGAAAGTGTCAAACTTACACAAGGCCTGAATTAAGATTTGCTTTTTAACATTCAGATGTAGAAAGATCGAATAATGAGCTCAGCCTAGGTTCAACCGTTCTGTCTCACGGCACATCCGTCTCCCCCTGCCCTGTCCTGCCTCCAGTAGATTTGGGGGGGGGGGGGTGGCAGCAGGTGTAAAAACAGAACCTCAATATCATGACCTCACTTGAAGGTTTAAAACCTGTTTGCTGCTGACATCAAATGTGCGGCCTCTTTGCAAACTTCCCCGCCGCCCCTGACGTTGCTAACGCTGGTCGTCTCTGGGAGCCCACGCTCTGCACCTGAAATGGGTCCATGCGCCTGACCACTGTCTTCTCAGGACGGCTCCCGTCCCTCCTTCCCTTTCGTGCTGTGTATGCATGGAGGACGATTCTGCGTCCCGAGCACCTTCTGTGGCCCCGAGCCTGGGCTGCATCACACCTGCCCCTGGGGGGCTCACCCCTCACACTTCCCCGGCCACCATGTGAGGGCACCCCAGGGGCCCCCGGCCCTCGTGACATGAAAACTGTACATTTGCACACGGCTGTATATCCAGTATTACATGTATATTTACATCACACATGCGTTTCATCCGTAATTCGGTGCCAGATGGCCCCTGTTCACAGCCTGTTGGGGGCTGATCTATACCTGTATCCATCCAACACCCAACGGCAGTGTGGATTATGTGGTTATTAGCAATAACTAGTATTGTCCACGTTAATGTAAGGATGCTTTCCAAGTATCCTCACACAGATTCTCTCACAGTTCGCACCGATGTCTACGTTGTCTTTGATAAGCCATCGGTGAGGGGTCTGTGCTTGGTGGCTGCACCGGAGGATCCGGGAGATGCTGAGTCATCTCTGCCCCTGTCGCTCGTCCCGGGACCATGCTGCTGTGAACCATTTGCTGGTGGTGTTTCTAGATTGACAGGCGTGAGTCCCCAGGGACCCTGAGGTCCCTCTCCTCCTCCGCCCACCTCCAGCGTCTTCTCAGGACCCTGCGCCCGATGTCCGCAGGTGCAGTTTGTTGGTGTTTGTGTCTGCCCCCCCCGGCCCCGCTGTTACAAGGCAGTCCCGGCCCGTCTCCAGTCCCTGGCTCTCGGGAGGGTGCCCGGTGGACGCGGCCAGTTTGCATCCTGGTTGTCTTTCCCTATCTGTGCTCATCGGGGCTGTTTCTCAGAGGCCGTCTCCTTGCCAGCCTGGTCCAGAGGCTCCCATACACTCGGCATCTCCCCGCCCGATCGTCCTGTCCTGAGAACTTAGTGATGACAGTGGGTGGGCGCACAGCAGAGAAGGGGAGGGGTCGGTGAAGTGCAGCCAGCAGAGCAGACGCGCTCAGGTCCTCCCGTGGGTTCCTGCAGTGCTGGTCCCAGACCTGAGCACCGTTTAAACACGGACTCCCAGAGCACACTGATGTGCAGAACCCGCTTTGATCTTCCCTCACTTCTCTCAGTTTGCAGGTGACGAAAGAGCCAGCTAGGGATGCAGACGATGGTGTCATTGCAGGAGGCGTCCCCCGAAGCTGGGACACTGAATCGGGGCAGAGACGGGCCCACGGAGCGACGTGCTTCGTTCAAGCACAGGGACTGCACGGTCCACCTGGGTCCAACGTGGAAGCGTCCGCTGGCCCTGGCCTGCGTGCAGGGCGGGTCTGTGTGCATCCAGTGGCAGCTCGCGCTGACCTCGAGTCCTGGTGTGCTGGCTCCTGGGGCCCCGGATGGCTGGAGGACTCAGGGAAATGTCCCACGTCTGTCCCCTTCGAGGAGTGGACCCCGAGCACTCAGTCTGGTTCCCTCGGAGACCCAGCGGCCATTATGGAAACTCCTCTAATTAAAACTGCATTGCTCCGAGTCGGGGTTTGGAAAGTCTCAGAATCTTAGTTCTGGTCCCTCTGGGCACCAAATAGCTAACTGGTGGCCCCCGCAGCTTGCAGCCCCGAGGCGTCCAGCTGCAGCAGCAGCCCAGCACGGCCAGGGTGGGCTCCAGGCAGGCGCTTCAGAGGGAGAGAGGGAGGCAGACACTTGATCGGGACGCCCGCCCCACAGGGACCTCCTTCAGGAGAATCCGTCAGCTGAAAAGAGCTTTGTACGTGGACGTGTCCGGGAGGCGTGGTTATAGAGACGTAGAGGCGGGGAGCCTCGTCCATTCAAGGGACACACAGGCTGGCTTGCGAGCAAACCGGCACGTGCGGTCCGGAGGCTGTTCGCCGCCCGGGGAGCGGCTGGGCAGGGCCTTCAGAGACGCAGGACTCGGACGAGTCGCGCAAGGTGGTGCTGGTGGCTCAGCACCTCGCCTGGAGGGACACTCCCGCGGCAGACAGAATATTTCAAGCCGAGTTTCACCACCTCAACGCCGTATTTTGCTTTTTACGGCCTCACCTTGCTATCACGGCCCTCTTACGATGTAACATCCCACTCGCGAGAGAGGAGACCAGTCGGTGCCGCTGGGCCCGCAGCACAGACCCCAGCTAACACTCTGGGTTACAGCCGCACCGGCTTCTGCCAGCCGGCTCATGAGGACCAGGCTTGGCGTGGGTGGCCGGACACTGATGCCACGGTGTGGAACGCCTCCACGGGGCTTGCTTCCTGGCACTCCAGGGTCTTAAGACGCCCAGCCCAGAACGTGTGGGGACAGGGCAGACGCCGGTACACTGCCCGTGGTGAAGGCTGGCCGCCCTGGCCAGAGGGTCACCCGGCCCGTGGCCGGAGGGTCATCAGGAGGGAGGGTCACCTGGCAGGAGGGTCATCAGGAGGGAGGGTCACCCGGCGGGAGGGTCATCAGGAGGGAGGGTCACCTGGCAGGAGGGTCACCCGGTGGGAAGGTCATCAGGAGGGAGGGTCACCTGGTGGGAGGGTCATCAGGAGGGAGGGTCACCCGGAGGGGGGGTCACCCGGCGGGAGGGTCATCAGGAGGGAGGGTCACCTGGCAGGAGGGTCACCTGGTGGGAAGGTCATCAGGAGGGAGGGTCACCCGGCGGGAGGGTCACCTGGCAGGAGGGTCATCAGGAGGGAGGGTCACCTGGCAGGAGGGTCACAGGGCGGGAGGGTCATCAGGAGGGAGGGTCACCTGGCAGGAGGGTCACAGGGCGGGAGGGTCATCAGGAGGGAGGGTCACCTGGCGGGAGGGTCACCCGGCGGGAAGGTCATCAGGAGGGAGGGTCACCTGGTGGGAGGGTCACCCGGCGGGAAGGTCATCAGGAGGGAGGGTCACCTGGCGGGAGGGTCACCCGGCGGGAAGGTCATCAGGAGGGAGGGTCACCTGGTGGGAGGATCACCCGGCCGGACGGTCATCAGGAGGGAGGGTCACCTGGCAGGAGGGTCATCAGGAGGGAGGGTCACCTGGCAGGAGGGTCACCCGGTGGGAAGGTCATCAGGAGGGAGGGTCACCTGGTGGGAGGGTCATCCGGCGGGAGGGTCATCAGGAGGGAGGGTCACCCGGCGGGAGGGTCACCCGGTGGGAGGGTCACCTGGCAGGAGGGTCACCCGGCCGGAGGGTCATCAGGAGGGAGGGTCACCTGGCAGGAGGGTCATCCGGCGGGAAGGTCATCAGGAGGGAGGGTCACCCGGTGGGAGGGTCATCAGGAGGGAGGGTCACGTGGCGGGAGGGTCATCAGGAGGGAGGGTCACCTGGCAGGAGGGTCACCCGGTGGGAAGGTCATCAGGAGGGAGGGTCACCCAGCGGGAGGGTCACCCGGCAGGACAGCCTGGGGACAGTGTCCTAAGCCCCGGCGCCAGCCCCCAGCCCCCAGGTGGCGCCCGAGGAGGGTTTCTTGCCCTGGTTCTGCAGCTCTCTGGGGATCCTTTTCCAGCATGTGCCCTGTCACGGTCACTCTGGTTCCTCGATGGAGCCTTGTCAAAGCTCATCCCCTGGAGACGGAAGCTGCTGACCAAGGCCTGGAGCCCTCAGCGCCTGTGCCCGGCGATGCTTCCCCTGCCCTCTCCATGCTGAGTCTCTTTCCTCGCTCCTCTCTTCTCCCACCTGCTGGAGACTCCTGTTAGCCAGCTGGAAAGCCCCACGGATTCTTCCTCTAGTTTTTAAAAATTGTCTTCTTTTCTCATTTTATAATTTAAGAGAGATTTCCTCAACTTTACACTCTAACCTTCTAACTGAACTCTTTATTTCACTTGTCTTTGTTTCAAAGATATCTTTCTTGTTTTCTTGATTTTTCTTGGATTATGAAGAGACTAAGTCATACTCTTCCATTTATTCTCCTTTTCTATCGGATGACAAATTAAAAAAAATTTCGCTTTCCAGAAATGTCTGTTTTCTCCAAGGTTTTCTTTCTTTTTTGAAGGCTGTTTTGCTTTCTGCCATGTTACTTAGTGCTTCCCTTAAATGGCTGGTTGTCTTCCGAGTATCTCCCGCTGAGGCCTGTCTCGGGGGCCTGCAGATTTCTGGGGGGGCTTCGCTCCTGTCTGGAGGTCGTGGGGGACACACGCAGGCCGAGGCTGTGGTCACAGCAGCTTGGGAACCAGAGGCGGAGGGCCTCACCCTGCACTGGGCATTCCTGCCTCCCGCCCCCTGGGGTCCCGAACGTGGAGCGCCCCTTCCGCTGGGCGAGGGGGGCGCGAGGCTGAGCATCTGGAGGCCCACTCTTCCTACAGAGACTT